GGGGGAGAAGCAGTTTTGTTTGGTGTTTCCTCAGACTGATGAAGCCTCCTGGATGGAAGGCGAAACATCTCAGCACAAAAAAAGAAACCATTCAGATGACCTGACTGAACATTGTTGGATTTGATACCTGGATTGCTGAGCATGGACTTTTGGTGTACAGTCCGTTTACGTAATCTGTTTAGCTGGAGCAAAGTTTGTCCACTTTTAGCCCAAGCTGCTCCACATGCAATCAAACATTTTCAGTCTACACTTCCTCAACTGGATCGGCGTATCTACTTCTATAAACTGTGCAATTTCTATTTTTCTCCTTAAAATGTTTTTTATGTGATTCAAATTTTGAAACAGATAAAACTACCAAAGTTATAACAAGTGATGAGGTCATTTTTTGTTAAGGTTAAGGTACATCAATTATGATGTTTGGTTTTATTTTGAAAAAGCACGTCTCAGTCTGTAAAAACGAATGAAAAAAAAATCACACAAATTTAATTTTCATATAATGTTACCTGGGTTAGAGTAGTTTGGAGTGAACAGAGGTCTAGGGGGTCATACACATTTATTTTATGAGAATAGCTTTTCGTGTGTTTTTTATTTTTTTATTTTTTAAACTTCACTCTAAAACATAAATATATCCAAAGTATTTTAATATGTTTTGCCAAATATTGCTTTGATTTTCTAATTATGGATTATTTAAATCCTGTAGATCTCTAAATACAAACATGTTTGTATAGAGGAAAAACAGAACTATTTTTTTGGCAGCATTCACTAAGCCAACTTCATCTGTGAAAGAAATGAGTGCCCAGCGAGAAAATATAAAAAGAGAGTTTAGAGAAATCACTGTGAACTCACTCAAATCATGCAAAACAACAGGACAACTGAATGCAGCAAAACATTCATTTGATTTAGCTGCCCCAGTTATTCACAGGGATTAGGATGCTGAGCAGCAGTGGCCTCAATTTGACTCTGGCTTCTGCTCATCATGTCATACCAAGGCCATAAACAAACACAAGCTACCATGACTTTAAAAAGGTTGTGAGCAAAAAATTAAAATAGTTTGAGGCTACTGAAATAATTCACTCATAAGAACACGTGAAAATGTATTTCTCTGTTATTGCTGGGAGAGAAACTGCTGAGTCATCAACTTGCGACCACAGCATTCGTCACAGTGTCATCCTATGGAGCACGTATTATTAAAATGACTGCGGCCGCACATAAAAACACATGACATCACGTTCTTTCTCTGCTGTGTTCACCTGTCAGCTCGCAGAGTTTCTGCAGGCCACAGTTCACCTGTTGTCGAGGGACGACAGCAGCCCCCTGATTTCATTTGCTGCTGCACGTACAAGAACAGAAAATTCATTCCCTTTATTTGGCAAAAGCAAGAGAAGGGGAAAAACAACTGAGTGCATCCCTCCCAGCAAAGTCAGAGTAAAACCTACAGCATGAGCCTGTAGCTGGGGGATAAAAATATGACTAAGCTTGCTGAGATTTAATAAAACAACCCCCTCTCCTCTAGCCAGTGCCAGTGAAATGTGCATAAATGGTGAAAGCTTAGTGTCTTTTTCCTGCTACAGATCAACTGTGACTACTGAATAAACTACCATCTTTAGGGGGGAAATGAACCTCCAGAACGAGGTAGACACGATTAGAGCTGGAGCAGGAGTCTTTGACTGAGGCCCAGGATCAGGAGAGCCTGATCAGATGACTTACTATGGCTGGGTATTTATCTCCCACTGCCAAAAGGCTACAACACTGTTTGTGTGCATGCACGTGTATGTGTGTGTGTTTGCATATCTACCTGGTATCAAAATATCTCATGAACCACTAAACAAATGTATTTATTGTATGTAATGTAAACAAATGTATACCCGTCATTGCACCCACTGGTTAACTGGTCATCATTAACTTCACACAGACTCTTTCACTGGTACATTTTCATCTTTAAATCACTTCTTGGTCTGCTGCCTTCATACATCTCCTACATGTCTCTGCGTGAGTGCAGCTACAGCGTGTGCTCTCAGGACATTATTACCTGCAGTGTTTCCTCAATGAGGACCGAACTAGACGAAAGGACCTTCTCCTACTCCGCTCCTGTTTCCTGGAATATCTTGAAAAAGACCTGAAGCTCTCGATCTTGACCTCTCTAAGGGATTTTAAACAACTGCTACGTTCCTGGCAAGAACCAATGCAGACATATTCCTGTTTTTAGTTTTCTAAATCGCCTTAGCTGTTTTGCTACTATTCCTCTTGATTGTCCTTTTGGTTGCTATTTTGTTTTGATTGTTTTCATTTGTAAAAAACACAACAAACAAACAGAGCAACTTAAATTTGTATACCTATGCCTATTTTATGTTGTTGTTATTCACTGTTTAAGTAATCAGGTCTCTCTTGTAAATGAGTTCCCGAGGCTCAGTGGGATTCACCTGTCTAAATAAAGGTTGAATTAATTAAAAAAACAAATGTATTTGAAATTTTCAGTAAGACATGTTTGAATGTACTTTTTCAATCAATTAACTTTTGGAGTCAGCTTGATTCAAGATGGCTGCCACAGCGAACTGATCTTACGAACACAAAATGGTCATAACTCAGTCAGTTTGACAGACATTGTACTAAAATGTAACCTGGTAGTAGCTGAGAGGCTTTTATAACATACACTCCAAATTCTACTCGTTGAGTCAAATTTGTGCCTAAAACGTTAGAAAACCTTTGTAGTTAAAATTGTGTGTTTGTTTTTTATCAAACCTCTAACCAACAATAGACACAAAGACAAAAACATTATTACACAAATAGATGTAACTCACTTTGACAGATATTTAGCTAACATCTGATGTTGCAGAAGCTGATAGGGGTGGAAGTAATGAATTACAAATATTCACGTTACTGTAATTAAGTAGATTTTTTTTTGGATACTTGTACTTTCATGAGTACTTCGTTCAAGTGTGTCATTTTAATCATACTTAAGTGCAATTTAGACCATGTAATCTACTTTGCTACTTTTAATATCAGAAGTCGCTACTGAGTATGGCCACAATTTGAATTAATATTCAAACTGTTCATCTGCATCTTTGTAGCTCTCAGATCGCAAACGCGCCAGTTACCTGTGACGTAAGCAAAGGACAACTCCGTAGAGCAGAGAGTCATGAGTTTACTCTTCACAGCCAAACAAAGCTGGATAGACTCTGTTAACTCAGAAAACCAGCTCCTGCTGACACTGAACAAAAGGTTCAGAAAGTGAAGGGTGACAGAAATGTCAGAGTTTAAGACAGTTACCTTCCTGTTGGTCACAGTGTATTTGGAAAAGTTTAAAATACCGGTTCAAAAACATTTTTGTCTTTTTTTCAACAAACAAAATTCCTGCTTTATCTACATTTGCTATGATGTGTAACCATAACAACAAGGTGGTTTTCTACAACTGGGAGCTGCTGCTTAACATGTCAAAAGTTCAAATAAGACCTCAGCTACAGCCCTAAATCCCAAATGAGTTGAAAAGGAGGTGCCGTGGATGCATTACCATCTACCTGAAGGCTGTGCTCAAGTGCCTGACCGCCAAGATCTTGGAGGTAGCGGGAAGTGTGACTCATGACAGCGGGAGGACCAAGATCGTCCCCTAGCACCTGCAGTTAAGTCCGCGGCGACGAGGGGCTCAGTGCGCTTCTGGGAGAAATGGCCATCTCTTGGGGTGGAGTTCTGCCCGGCATTCAGGCAGTCCTGCTGCCCCAGAGGACCGAGAGGTCTGCTGGGTCTGGGTGGACGGATCGGCATTGGCAGCCAGTTTCTTCGGATCTGCTGTGGGACAGACTGCTACAAGACATCCTTCCTGCCCAAAGCCATCAGCATCTATAACAACTCTAATGAACCAAGATGAACAACAACAATTAGTTTCCCTTTGGGATTAATAAAGTATTTTTGAATTGAACTGAATTTATTTACAAAAGAAATGGTCTCAGTGTAATTTTTTAAATACTTTTTTGTTCCTCTTAGAAATGTGCTTTGATTGTAGCTATTCAAATTGAATGTCTTCTATTGACAACACAATAAAACATCAATTCGTTAAAAAGTAATTAATACTCTGAGCAGTTTTTGAGAAGAGTACTTTGTACTTGTACTTAAGTATTTTTATAACACCAGTACTTTTACTTGTAATTGAGTACAATTCAAGCAGTGTAGCAGTACTTATACTTGAGTACAAATTTTCAGTCGTCTTTCCACCTCTGCTGATAGCTCATCCACAACATGTACATCGATTGTGACATAGCAATTTGTTATGAAATTGCCAGTATTGTTATTTTCAAGGTTTGGCCACAACAACTACAACTTCATTACGTCCCAACGTAAGGTGATCTTAGTTTAAAACTCTGGGATGAAAGCAGGCAGGTGATATCCATTCCTTCACGGAATGATAAGCCCCTGATTACCGTTGGGAAGCCAGCTTAGACCTGTGCTCCTCACTGAAGACCCAGGTGTCTCTGAGGATGCCGACAGAAAAGTCCAAACTCTCGTGGCACAGTTACTGAGCAGCGCTACATGGCAACGTTGCCGGCTGAGCCAATCACAGACAAGCCTGAGTCAGGGCTGAAAGATGCATGCATCTGTAAACAGATCATTCTCACCTTCACTTTAGCAAGCATCTGTAGACTGATATCAAAGTGAAAGGTATTTGAGACTAAAGGGACAACCTAAAATGTTTTACTGTGTAGTGGAGAAAGAAGGCATCCCTCTACTGACAACATAACACATTTCTGTCAAATATATTCAAACGGTCCCTAAGATTTTTGTGAAGATTTGCATGAAGCTTGGAGGTCATCAGAAAACAAATTAAATCTCTTCAGATCTCATTTACAGTTGTTTCTATCGCTCCAATTAAAAGTGCATCATGAATAAAGTAAGTAAACATTCCTGTTCTGATGTGTCACAGCATGACACTGAGCTTTAAGAAAACCAAAGATGACACTGCAGCATCCCCAGTGGCTTTAGTTAGTCATCTTTAACACCTGCCTTTACTGCTAATACTCAGTTACGGTAGTGGGAGGACAAAACACTTTGCCTGTCCTCTGTTTGCTCCAAAACTTTCAGACATTTGAGAAAAACAAACCATGAAAAGGTGAGTTTTTATCAAAAGAATTATTTTGTGTGAATGTTGAACGTCAGTACCGCTGCGTTCGAGCTGAAGGATCCAGTCTGATTATGAGCTGTGTCGATTTGTCCTGGGCAGGAAAATGGTTGGGAAGTCCCTGATTGCTGGTCTGGTGGTCCTTCTGGTGGCTGCAGTGAGCCTGTTTCTGGGGGTGTTCATGGGCCTGGGGAGGAAAAGCACTCCTCCTCCTTCAGACCACTTCTACTCGAAGGCTGCTGTAGCTGCTGATGCTGGAAAGTGTTCAGAAGTGGGAAGGTAAGAGGGCTCAGAGTGCACGTTTCTTTCTGCATGTGTGCTTCCTGACTGTTAAGTGCATTTTGGTGTTTTTCAGGGACATTTTGAAGAAAAACGGCACAGCTGTGGATGCTTCCATTGCTGCCTTGCTGTGTGTTGGGCTTTTGAACGCTCATAGCATGGGCATCGGAGGAGGCCTTTACTTTATAATATATAATGCTTCCACAGGTGAGTGTGTAACATCAGTTGGATATATTTACCACATAAATAATAACAAGATGCAACTTCCCTAAAGAAAATTTGAAGAAGTGACTGTCGCGACTGCCACCAATCCATTTTCATTACATCACCTGTGTTCTTTAATGCCTATGATCATTAGACATGTTCTTCTGTTAGAGTCTAAGCTGACAACGTTTTGATGTAAATACTATAGAAGAAGTGTAAAGAGAATCAAAATCAGCCGGTGGATCACTGAGGTCTCCATGGTAACCAACACATGTGTCTGTCATTAAGTACTATACACCGACAGCACTTAATAAGACAGGCAGACAAACAGAGCAGAAATTGAACCTCAGACTAACAATTACCACACAAAAACTCTGACTCATATTGAAGGAATTTCTGACCCTGAAGCAGCAGAAAATTGATCGTCACACATGACAGTTTTGTATGTGTCTTCAGTGTTGTCTGAATTTAAAACAGAAACACAATGAAAGTACACAACACTGGGGGGGATTTGACAGAAGTCCTTTAGCTTGCAGGGTAAAAAGGAGTAAATGTGGTCACACTTTGATTAATAAACTCTTTGAGAAATGGAAATACTGTGGGGAAAAATTTAGTTTGAATATATTTTTTTGGGAAGTTTGGACAGCTTAAAAGTCAGTGAGATATCATTACTGCTAATTGACTAATCCAGTAAAATCATTAAATAAACCGTCAAATCTAAACAGCATCAAAAAACTTAAAATGCCATTTTAGTTAAATTCTGACTGATGATTCCACTTTCAAATATATCTGAACTATAGAGCTCCACTCATTTAACTAAAATCCTGTGGATAAAAATTAATCAGTTTCACATTGTGTTGCTAAGTACTTAACACTATTTTTATTTGATCCACTTATTCTCATACTTTTTTAAAATGGGTTTTTCTATAGCTGGATTGAAACACATCAGAAAAATGGAAGAATACCATCCAAATGACAGAAATCCACATCCTTAACTAATCTGTTTCCATTGACTGATTAACAGGGAAGGTGGAAACCATTGATGCGAGGGAGACAGCCCCCATGAACGCCACCGAAGACATGTTCGGCAACAACACCAAGCTTTCTCGTACAGGTAGCAACAAGATATATATATATATATATATATATATATATATATATATATATATAGACACACACGTTTGTTCACACACTCTTACTTGTTTAATCAATTTTTAATCTGTTGCAGCTGCTCTAAGCTGCGGGGAAGGTTTTAATATAGATAGATTCTGGCCTCAAAGCTGTTTATCCAGCTACTAAAGGAGATTATTTTTCCCTCAACAACCTTTTCGTATCTTTTTTTAATGCCTGCTTTTAATACAAATAAAACATCACAACATGTGGAGAAGATAGCTTCTATAAATTCTTTGTCACAATGTAAAACCATCCCAACCTTGGTGCTGTTGTTTCTGGTTGACAGGTGGATTGTCCATAGCCATCCCAGGAGAGATTCGTGGTTATGAGATGGCACACAAAAGGCACGGCAGGCTTCCATGGAGGGAGCTGTTCGAGCCCAGCATTGCTTTGGCTCGTGATGGCTTTCCCATCGGGAAAGCCTTGGCTCACGCCATCTTCAAGAGCAGAGAATCCATTCAAGAAGACGCCAACATGTGGTGAGGGGAATCTGACTGTCACTTTAATGCCATCCATCCATCCATCCATCCATCCATTATCTTTACCCGTTTATTCCATTTTGGGTCACGGGGGTCGCTGGTGCCCATGTCCAGCAATCACTGTGCGAGGGGCGGGGTACACCCTGGACGGGTCGCAAGTCCATCACAGGGCCACATAGAGACAAACGAGACAAACAACCATTCACTCTCTCATTCACACCTAGGGACAATTTAGAGTTACCAATCAGCCTAACATGCATGTTTTTGGTCTGTGGGAGGAAACCGGAGCACCCGGAGAAAACCCACGCATGCACGGAGAGAACATGCAAACTCCACCCAGAAAGGCCCCTGGACCGGGGTTTGAACCAGGGACCTGCTCGCTGAGAGGCAGCAGCTCTACCAGTTGCGCCACCGTGCTGCCCGTCACTTTAATGCATGATCCTAAAATACATGAAGCACATTCCTAAATGTGGTTTAGTTCTAAGTGCTTCAAAATGTATTTCTTGCTCATTTCTCTGGAAACATTGGTATGTCACTTGACATTCTGCATTTTTAAAAAGGCACAAACTTTCATTTTGACATTTAAACTGTACAGGATACAAAACTTCATTATACGTCAATCCACATTTTACAGTCACAGTTGTTTTGAAAATGGGTTTTTAATGAAAATTGTATTTAACCAGAAAAAGGTTTGTAAGCTCAATCATTCAGGTAAATAACAACAAAAAAAGGTTAAATTGTGTCATCTGGACCATTTTCTTTAAGTGAGAAACGTTTCGTCCTCCATCCAGAGGACTACGTCAGTCTACGGCCTGCCAACCAGATCTGTCTCATAGGTGTCCCTCACGGCTGTGCTTCAAGCCAACACAGATGACACAATTTAAACATCTTTGTTGTTATCAACCTGGATGATTGAACTTACAAACGTTTTTCTGAACCACTTTGGCCTTGGTTGTCCTCAGGCTGTTTCTGTGAGTAGCAAGTCGGCCCTCTGACCTAAAACATTTGATTGTTGTACATGATGATTGATTGTTTTGGATGGGTGTGTTTTGCATATGTTAAAAGCTACTTTTGAGATTCTAACAGGAGGTTGGCTTGAAACACAGCAGTGAAGGTTACCTATGGGACAAATCTGGTTGGCAGGCCGTAGACTGAAGAAGTCCTCTGGATGAGGGACAAAATGTTTCTCATTTGAAGAAACTGGTCCAGATGACACGATTTAACCTTTTTTGTTATAGTCAACCAGTTATAATACTGGTCTGTGTGGATTACTGGTTTCTGCACAAGGGATTTTTCTTTTGTTCAGAAATAGTTCTGTGATCATCCATGGATTGTTCTGCACTGTCACTGACTGACATTGTTTTATTCAATCTCGGTTTATCTTTAGCTTTTTATGTTTAATGAACAGCTGTAATTTATCAATTTTTTCTCCTCTTTTTACGTTTAAAAGTGTCAGCAAAGGACTTTTATTTTATACAGCTTTGCATTTTATTAAGTTAAGGTTTCTATTACATGCTACGACTGCTCATTAATTTAGTTTTTGTTTTTGTTTTGTCCTCTTTCAG